AGATGCAATTTAATATTGCTCATTAAAAATATGGACGAAACTATAAGCTATAGTTCGGACGAAAGGACTGACTGGTAATATCTATTCCAAGGACGAACTTGTACATCCTTCATTAATTTTGCCCTGATCATTCATAGAAACAAACTCTGCACGGCCTAAATGTAGATATGGCAATTTCACACTTTCAAATGTAGAGAGTATACTGGTTCGTTCAGGTGATCCGTTGATTTATCAGGCATCATGACATTATTAACCATTCTCCTCCAGATTTTTTTCCGTTGCACAATTTATTCCCACTAATTTTTCAACCTATAACTGTTTCACATAAAATTACAGTTTTATTTATACAATGATAGGTTTTGAACCACTCTAACCGAATTTCCCCATGACTTGTAATTTTCCTCTTATTAATGCGAATTGTTTACGATTTACTCACGAAATTAGGTAATAAAAGATTAAAAATTACGTAGCTTTATTTCCAAAATAAACGTATTTATATCCAAGCTTTATTGGATGGTATAAAGACCAAGATGAGGTGTCCTTCGGTGAGGTCTCAGTTCCCTTTCGTTGTATAGAAGATGTTTGACCTTGTTTTCGCAACTCGGTCATATTGACAAGAAGACCTAGAGGAACGCACCTAGTCCGGAGTCCATTGTATGCATGTTTATTTCCAAAGTGGCAGGAGTCGAGTGAAATAGGTGAAGAGGGGTTAGAGCAGACGGATTTTACGGAGCAAGAGAGAGACTGGGATAAGACTAGGAAAGAGGACTGCATAATAATAAAGCAAACTCTGATCAACATTCTCTGCACAAGAAAGAAAGAGGGAGGAGAACGAAAGTTGGAGTGTGAAGGTCTCATATCGCTCAAAGGAGCACACCACACTATCTAAATAAACACGGTAAAAATTGTAATAGTGAAGGTGTGAAAGGAGGATATAGGAAACGCGAATAACCCAGGGCAGAAGAGGAGATACCACAATTGTTTAGTACACGTTTGGTCAAAGGATCGGCTTCACTTGTCTCTTTGACGAGTTGT